ATGTCCTCCTGTGCCAGTTGGACTCAACAGCATACAACAAGAAAAAAAATATTGAAAGATGAGTTGCACTGGAAAATTTGCTATTAGTGACTTATTTATCCAAAGTTCTAAAGATCAAGATTGTCAGTGTGCAGACTGAGTCTGCTTGATCCAAGCCTTGGCATTTTCTTTTCTTTTTAAAAACAAAAAATTTAATTGAAATTTTAATTAAAGTTCATAAAGACTTGGGATTTTCATTCATTCACTGATGCACTTTTTCCTCCCTACCCACCCCGCCCTCCAGTAGGTTTTTATACTTGAAAAGTAAAAAAAAAAAAAAATCTTTCATTATTTTATAATCCCCTACCCCCCAGTCTACATCATCATGCAGCTCTCATTCTTGACTCCTGCTATGAAAATAATACCTAAACATATATTCTTTTCAAACAGCTCTCTCCTCATCTGTTTCATTTGAATATATATTATTTATCCCCTCTTTTCTTAGTTTCCCCAAATCCCTGTGTCAGTCCTGCTTTACAAGAGTGGCATTATGCAGTATTTGTTCCTTTGTGACTGAGATTTTTCACTGAGCATAAGGTCCTCCAAAGATTTTTCACTGAGCATAACGTCCCCATTTTGTATAATGGTTCATGAGTTCCTTATTTTTCAACGCAACATAGTATTCCATTGTGTGAATATACCACAGGTTCTCTATCCATTCGTTTGTTGATGGGTACTTAGGTTGTTTCCAACCCAAGTTTGCTATTGTGAACAAAGAAGCAAAAAACATGGTGTGCATATATCTGCTTGGGTGACAATTCTGGTTTCTTTTGGGTGTATTTCCAATAGTGGAGCTGCTAGATCAAATGATATTTCTATTTCCAACTTATTGAGAAAACATCAAAGTGCGCTTATGTGAACCTATACCTAGAGGAGGAGGCAGTTGTGTGAACAGAGGAGGGGAACACTGAATGGTTTAAAATTAGGGGAGTGCACCAGGGTTGTATTCTCTCTTCAAGCTCCACTCTACTAGAGGCTCATATAATCTTATGGGAGCTCAATACTAAATCTCTTTTTGAAATATATCCTTGGATCCGGGAGCACAGCATCCAGTCACCTGAGCACCAGTCTCTGCAAATCTGTCCTGTTTCACCTGTGGTCAAGTGAGTCAGTCCTCTGATCGATATGAGTCTCTGTAAGACCGTCTAATGAACAATCAAACCCAAGGGACATAGAGAAGTCAGAGAACTGAATGAAGGAGGGATTGTTAATGTTTGAAATCATGGAGGTATACAGAGGATCAAACATCTTAGCAGGATGAATTATGAATACAGTTGGTGTCAAAAGCCAGGTTTGTGGCGATGGCTCCAGATTCATACAAGTGTGGGGGTTTGTAGAAATTATAAATTAGGACATTGGGAAATTAAAATGGTAATTTTGCTGTTACTAAAATGGAGAGGGGGAGAACTTATTTGCTTTTGGTTTTAGGCCAAGGATAAGAACTGAGAACATATGCATATGAATGAGATGTTAAAGGTGGAGAATGAAGTTAAAATTGGGAATTTCTTTAAAAGTTTATGTGTTTTTGTATTTTTTTTTAGTTGTTATTGTTGTTGATTGCAATCAGTGGACTACAATTCCTAATGACCCAGTGAACAAACAGCCAAAAGCCTTTCTATAACTATCATCATTTATGAAAACTCACTGAGTTTCCAGAGGCATGTTATTTAGGAAGAGGATGCCACCAACTTTATGAATATTGCTATTTCTGTTTCTTCCATAGAGTAATGTTAAAATAAATTGAAAAATGATCAAGGTTTTTGTTGTTATAATGTTAAATATTTATAAAATATTTAAGTTTTTATTGATTTAATGTTAATATGTCTGATGTCATGAATACTAAATATTAGAGATCTCGAAAGACTGTAATCCTCTATTTAGCAAGTAGTTGACTGAATATACTAAGAGGAAAATCCATCCTGGAGACATGCTTGTTGAAAGCAGAAGAATTAGAGGGAATGGGACCTAGGGGAATATTAAGGCCCACCCCATACTTTGAGGAAATGTACATTTAAATGGACTTTGATTGAAGAGATTTACATTTGGAAGAAAGGCAAGCAGGAAGAAGAGACAGCTGGAACTTCTGAAAGTGATCTGTTTGTGTACTGTTCTAGCCATTTTTGAATGATTTACAGCGGTAATTTGTTTGCATATGATATTTGTTAGGCCATGGGGATAAGGAATCATAAGGATGTGACAGCTTCACCCACCTGACTGGACCATAAACTACAATAGAGTTGTCCCTCCCTACTCTTCCATCTCCCTGAAAAGCCTGCTATAAAAACCTGCCCAAATACACCCGAAGTGTGATTTCCTTGGCGTTCCTTTCCAGACCAAGGAATCTCACCTGGGAGCTCCCTTAATAAAGCTCTCTTTAAGCTTTCTTTCTTACTCTCCAGTCTCCTTCTTGAGTCCACAGCCTTATAGCTGGTATGAAGATCTACCAATATTACTAATGCTGTTGTTTGATAATTTCCATATTGAATTGAATCACATTTTTTGGGAATAGACACAGGTGTGAAGGTCGTTTAGTCAGTTGGCCAGGCACTGTCTTCCAGTTTTTCTGGAAGAAACTGGTTGGAACATCCATAAGTTCATCTGTGAGTAGAAATATGTCAATTGAGATCCTATCAATTCCTGAGGTCTTATTTTTTTGACAATGTCTTCAGTCCATCTTGAACTTCTTTTGAACTATTGAAACTTGAGGCTTGAATTTATCAGTTCTTTCAGTTCAAGAAGTGCTGACTGAAACTTTCTTTTTTATTTCCCTATTCTATGTTTCTGCATGTTGTTGTCGCTGTAATGTGCTGTTGAGTCATTTACAGCTCATAGTGACCCTATGCACAATAGCCCTGAAATTTACTCTATTCTGTGTCAAGCTTTACTGTATCTGACACACCTACCCTCATGACCGCAGTCACTAAATCAATGCATCTCATCAATGGTCTTCCTCTCTTTTTCTGTCCCTCCACCCTTCCCAGCACAATGTCCATCTCCAAAGACTGGTCCCTTCTTGCAACACACCCAAAGTATGTCAGAAGAACCCTCATAATCCTTGTTTTCAAGGAGCAGCCTGTTTTCACCTGCTCTCCTGGCAGTCCATGATATAGTCAACATTTTTCTCCAGCACCATAGCTCAAAGGCATCAATTCTCTTTCTATTATACCTATTCATCGTCCAGTTGTCTGACTCATAACAAGCAATTGTGAAGACCAAGACCTGAATCAGGAGCACCTTGGTCTCCAGAATGATGTTGTTGCTCTTCTGCACTCTGGAGAGGTCTCTACTAGCCAACTTTCTCAATGCAATTCATCTCCTGATTTCCTGGATGCTAGTACCAAGAGTGTTGATTGTGGAGCCAAGCAAACTAAAGTTAACAATTTCAATCTCTCCATAATCTATCATAATGCTTCCAGTTTTTCTGCATATTGTATTAGAATAGTTCTCTTCGTCTTCTTGACCTACCTTTTAAAATGTTCTGTTCAGTTTGTCTTTTACTTCAACATCTATCTCTTCCTTTCGTTTTGGCTTCTCGATGTTATAGTCAAATTTTAAGAGTCTCTTCCAATATTCAATTTGGTGTTTTATTTGCCCTCTCTTTGTAGTAATAGAGATGAGCAAATTAGAAATTGGCTGTCTAAAATGTGGGGATTAAAGAACGAGGTATGAAGTTGCTGACTTACATACTCACAATTATAGTTATTGAACACTGTAAGTACTAAATTAATTCTTCAAATATGAAGGATAATGGCTAGCAAAGCCAGCAGGTGGGTAGTCTGAGATGTTAAGGGTTTACTGTTCAAAATGGCATTCCCAGCCATGGAGTTGGACTTTGTTTTTGGATGAGCGGGAATTTGAGGGTAAATAGTATTCGCCTATGCACCAGGAGACTGGTTAGTCTTGTCATTTAATTGACCTGATCCAGCAACAGAATTTGAGAATCTCACCACTACCAAAAAAGAAACAAGAGAAATAATATGCCCTTTGGGGCTAGAGATACTTGTGCCAGCTAGACCCACAACAGCAGAAACAGCTGTGGCCACGGTAGATAACCAGAGACAGGACATGAGCTAGAGCTGACATTACACCTACTACCCCATGGAACCCGAGCAAAGAGCCCAAGTTTGTTGGAGGACTGGGGTGGGGCTTGGGAGCCATAATAATTGGCAAGACAAAGAGCCCAAAGCCACCAGGCTGAGGTGCATGTGAACACATGGGAAGTTGTCTTCTCTGAGTCATTGTATTTGTTACCAACATGAACTAAAACCTTTGACTTCCCTAATATGATTCTGTGTGTACTGTGAGCTATTGTGATGGATTTCAGACCCAGTAAAGCTGTAATATTGGGATTGGAATGTAGAAAGAGGTGAAGGAATATGAGGAACATGTGTGACGTCACAGAAATTGGTTTGTATTGTGGGTGCTGTTGACAGGGACAGTTCTTCAATGTGGAGTTAGTAGATGTTGGACATGTTGTAAGGTGGGACCAGTCCTTAGAGAGGGACATCATGCTTGGGAGGGTGGAGGGACCATGCAGGAGAAGAAGACCCTCTAGGAGGTGGACGGATTCAGTGACTGGGGTAATCAGGATGGGTGTGTTGGAGACAGTGTAATTGGCACAGGACAGGGCAGGGTTTAGGTGTGTTGTATATAGGGTCACTAAGAGTCGGAAGTGACTCAATGGCACATGAAAACAAAAAAACCCACACTTGTAAGATATAGCCATCTCTGTGTGGCCCTTGGTGTTTTACACATCCACAAAAGACCATTTCTGTGACCCAATAATGAAGGTGTATGATTGATAGGAAAATGCATACACATTTGGAGGGATGCTTGTGATCATGTAGAAAGAACAATTGTACTAGATACAGAGCAGGCAAGTCTCAAATGCTCTTATCTTTATGCCCTATTCCTTGATAGGAATTACAGATATTTTACAGATAGATGTAATTTTCTATTACCTGCTGAGAAAGCCATGAAGTAATCACTCTTCTTAAAGTTGCCACTTTTATCCAGAAAGTGGCCAGGGTCAAATGTGTTTGCATTGGGGAATTCTTTTTCGCTGTGAAGCACAGAAGTCAGTGAAGTTAATATGGTCGTACCCTGCAATAAACAGACACAAATAAAGTGAGTGACCCTGGGGCTTGTTCTTTGTTTTAATTTTTTAATAAATTGTTGAATATGATAGTTATTTGTATATAGTAAATTTTCTTCTTTTTGCTAAGATTGCCTTATTCAATGTATGTGTAATAAGAATAGTTTAAACAAGGATGTTCTGAGTACTATGGAAAAGAAATGAAAACTCATTTCAGACATTGAAAAATGATTCTGTGGTGTTCTCCTTCACTACCTAGCCAGTCTTACACTGAGCTTAGCAATCAGGCCACAGGGAAAGCATAGTGTCTTCTCAGGAAGTTTCAGAGTAGGCTTCTTGGCTTCAGCATGCATGTGAATTCCTCCCTTTCCTTGTGGACCTGTTGCACTTGACTGACTTAATTTTTCTCCAACTTTTTAGTGCGATATTAGAATTTGTTTGGAAATACAAAAACCTAAGCTCATCTAAAAGAAGCATAAAGAAAAACAGTAAATTTTGAAGACTTAACATTGCTATATGTCAAGACTTGTTCTAAATCTTTAGAGTTCTAAATTGGAAAGAACAGAAAATTAATCAAGCTGCACTTACTATTCAATGTCCTTTTGATTTCTCTGACCCTATTCTAGTAGAAGACTGACACAATACTATGTATATACTGAGCTCTAGTTTAGAAAAATAGGTTACCTTGGGAATGCGGTAATTTCTGAAGTTAACATCACGAGTCACTGAATGAAGCAGGCTGGTAGGGAGGAGGTCAATGTATCTCTGGATCTCATGCACCACAGCATCTGTATAAGGCATATTGGCCCTATCTTGCATGCAGGGGTCTCGGTGACTGCCAATCACTTGGTGAATCTCTTTCTGGACTTTATCTAGTAAGTCATAAGTAAGAACTGATGAAAATGTGAAAATTATTAATTTTTTTTGTCATTTTAACAAAATTACATGAAGCAGGAGAAAGATAGACAATCCCCTCCCAAGTGATTTATAGCCTTGGAAATCAGGAGTCAGTTTTGACTCAAAAGTAATGCATTTTTAACTTTTGAATTATAGGGAAACCAGAGATAATCTATCACTTTCCTAGTTTTCTTGATATCCTCACTCATTCCGTTTTCATAAACCCTGTCTATTGTGAATTGCTTATTTTGTAGGCCTAGTGTCATGCAGTTGGAAGCAGGAGTGGCATTCACTTCTTAAACAACATGCATCAAGAACTTATATAAACTTTGAGAAACAATGATAGTTATAGAAAAACTTCAGAACTTTTGTTCATATAGTTACTATGAGTCGTGCTAAACTTGACAGCCATGAACAACAACAACAACGGCGTCAAGTATAAGGTCATTACAAAGGCAGAGGAAAAAGAAAAGACCAAAATGGATGTCAGAAGAGACTCTGAATATTGCACAAGAGTGCCAAGAAGCCAAAGCAAATGAAAGAAATCAAGAAGTCAAGGAGCTGAATACAAGAATTCAAAGGGCAGATCAGGAAGACAAAGCAAAGCATTCTAGTGCAATGTGCAAGGCACTAGAGACTGAAACTCAAAAGGGATGAATTTGTTTGGCATTTCTTAAGCTGAAGGATCTAAATTTGTTCATTCTACTCAAGAGTTGTAGTTTTCAGGATGCTATGGGCAGAATATTGAATGATCCAAGAAGTGTTAAAAGAAGATGGAAGGAGCTTTCGGGCGGTGCCTCTGCACTCAATTCTGTGGTGAACTCAAGTTGCTGGTGAACTTCAGAGCTGCTGCTTGGAAGACATTCTTTCTCAAGTAAAGCTATATAGAAGAATTTTTTGGATAGTGAACTAGTAGAACTGAAAAACCAGTTGTCTACTGCAAGAACACCAGGAAAGCCAGCTACAGACGATAATTCTAGAATCCTGAAATTGGGGAACTAAGAAGAACCTCACATAATTGCAAAGAAGGAGCTGTCAGGTTCAAACATGAAAAAAACTCAACATACTCTGAATGAAGCATACCAGCAGTTCACCCCTCTGATTATCCCAGAGTCAGGAATCCAGAAGTTATTTGACGGTGTGAAGTATTTCCAACAATATATAGCTTGGAAATTACAAAAGCTGAAGGATAGTTTAGAAACCACAAATCAAACACAGTAAACAAAATTATTACTACCGTATGGAGAGAGTACAACCAGCACACACCAAGAAGAGCTTTCCACAATGCTGAGGGAGCTGCAGTCAAGTTCAAACATTATGAAAGGACAAAACAAGCCTTCTTGTAGAAAAGCAGACCAGATTGCCCATCCAGTGACTCTCTGATGGGAAGCCAAAAGAAATACATTGATACAGAGTTAAGTGAAATGAAACATGAGAATGAAAACCACATACCAAAACCTATTATATGATAAAACCAGTCTTCAACCCCATTTATAGAAATAAACATTGTAAAAAAGGATCAGAACCACTGAACTGAAGACCATTAGGGGAAAATAGATATAAATTTAGGAGCCCTGATCTACAGCATAGGGAGTTTTGGTGGCTTAAGTGCTAAGGAGTTGTGTTGCCAAATTGGGCTCT